TGCCATTTGTTTGCTCATGTTTTTCCAAGGCATTGAGATGCATTGTTAATTTATTATTATTCTGTTATGGTCTGATAAGGTGCATGAAATCATTTCATTTTAACAATTTTTGTTGATTTGTTTTGTGACCTCAAAGGTTCTATTTTCAGAAAACTTGGTGTTTGGATGAATATTTATTCTGCAGCTCTTCAATGCAATATGGTATTTAGAAGATGCCTGAGAAGTGCATTTGTTATGTTGTGGAATTTAACTCTCCTATTTCTTTATTGATTTTTCCCAGATTATTGGTAATGCAATATTGAAGAATATTGTGGAATATTGAAGTCACTCACAATTTATTGTGTTGGAATTTATTTCTGTATGTCTGTCCTGAAGCGTTTCTTTTTCAAATTGTATTTTACTAGTACACGGTTAGAGTGCCTGAAGTTTACATCATCTTAGGGAGTAGATATATATACAAAATACATCTCAATTCTTGTTTGAATCCCCATCTCCTGCCCACCATCTTCCTCTCTTTGTCTCTAAGTCCCCTTTCCCTATTTTCATTATTGCTGTTATTATTATGATTATTAGTACATGTTTATGACTCATAATGTTTACAGTCACTGTGTTTGGTGTATGTAAATGACACCTCTTAATATTTTTTACTCCCTCCTCCCCCTTTGGTCTCCTGCACTTATTCCAATTTGCAAAAGATCTAGCTCCTTCTATCCGACCTTTATTTTGCTCTTTTTTGTACTTTCTTTTACTCAAATGAAATATTCCATATAGTATTTAAGTTGTATGTTGGATTTATTTCACTTAATGCTATATTTTGTAGGTACATTCATTTGCCTACAAATGTCTTGAATTTGTCTTACTTTATAGCTGAGTTGTATTCCAAGATGTATAGATACCATATTTTCTTTATCCATTCATTTGTTGATGGATATATAGGTTGTTTCTAGGATGAAGCTATTATGAATTGTACTGATATAAATATTGGTAGGCATGTATCACTGCAGTATGATGTCTTTGGTTCTTGGGAAATCTCCATACTGATTTCCACAGTTGTTGTTCTATCTCACACTCCCACCATCAATGTAGAGTTCCTTTTTCACCAAAGTCTGGTTGGAGGAGGTGGGTCCCCTGGACATATGCTGCAAGGGTCTATCTCTTTTCCCCTCCCACTTCGATCTTCCTCTCCACTTTCCACTGTGATGTCATGATCCCTCTCCCTTCTATCATGCTCTTCTGGCATGTCTCTCTGCCTTGGAGCTAGTTGACTACAGACTGAAATCTCCACAAACTGTAAGCCAAAGTATCTTTCCTCCTTAGAAGAGTTAGAAATTAAAATGCAACTGGAGAAGGATTGGGTCTTCAAGGAAGTCTGTGAAAAAGACAAGATACACCAAGATTGTGAGTGGAGGTTAATCTGAAGAGACCCATGCTCTAGGATGGAGATGCAATAGCTAGGCCTTTGAGCCTCCCTTGAGATAAACAGCTACTTGAGATTATGCTGTAATTAGCACCACCTGATCCAGTGATCTCAGACAGGCATCAGATGCATAGGGGGGTTGCCAGGACATCTGGATTCATATTCCCATCTCTTTCCAAGAATGCCTTTTTTCTTTGCATATACCCTCAATATGTGACTCTTTCTCTATTGGATCAGTATTAGCTAAGCAATTATACTTGTAATCGTATAGCTTGACTGTAACTTTACCCACATTGTATCCACACTGTGATTTTTCTGTATCAGTGAGCCCTGACAAAGAGCTTTATTGGCCACCCACTTGGGATCCTTCCTGGAAATCCAGGAGCTATTCTTATTTCCAATAAAACTCTCCTAATTTCCTTTTTTGGTTCCCAACTGTGTTTCTTTTTTTTTTTTTTTTTTTGGTTTTTCTCCGGTACCGGGAACTGAACTCACGACCTTGCACTTGCCAGGCAGGCGCTTTTGCCGCTAAGCTAAATCCCCAGCCCCTAAACTGTGTTTCTTAAGGTTGTGAGATCATGTATTCAGCACATTTGACATCTAACAGGTTGAGAGTTACTGTATTTTCCTTATAACAGTGCACACTGGGACTTATGTGGTTACGAGGCAGGAGTAGACAAACCTGCAAACTTACCCTGCCTACCACCTCAATGGTCTAGAACTATTTTTCACTGTTATGATCATTTGGCTTCTATCTTTATCTCTTCCCTAGGATTAGAGAATGTCATGCAACATGCAACACATCAATGATTGATTCTTCATTAACTCACCACAGTCAATGGCCTTAAATGACACCATGACGGGTCTCTCTCCCCTGAATGAAAAAGTAAAATTAATGAGGCAATCTGTCCTCCAAAACTGGATGGCAGTAGACATTTTAACTGCAGCACAAGGGGGTACTTAGGCAATTATAAAAGCTGAATGTTAAGTGTACATTCCTGATCTTTCCGTTAATATCTCCATGGCTGTGAAAGACATTAAAAAACAGGTAAATGCCATGTCAGATTCTGAAATTCCTTAGACTCTCTCCTTGCCATCTTTGTGGAAGGTTATTGCTAGCTCTTCCTGGTGGAAACTTTTCTTATATGTATTCATAATAACATTGTAGATCTTATTATTTGACCTATACATATTTGACTGTTTCTTTGGCTTTGCGTCCTCCAGGCTTACAGCTGTATGCCTACCCAAGACTAAAATGCCTGGCATCTATCCAGGGCCTTTACACAGATCCATTAGAGAGTTTCTCTGATTGCCAGTCACAACTAAGTCCCCTCTTTAGCAAGAAAAAGCCAGAATGGTCATCGACCTGTGCCCCCTCATGGCAGTTAGGGGTACTTCTTGAGAGGGAGGAATATTATAGACAGCTGTTAGTTAAAAATATTGTAGGCAATCAGACCGGGCTAGGGCCTCCAGGGAGGTAGTGCAGAAAGTGAGACTACATTATAACGGTGGGTAGCACAGTATTTTTTGAAGGTCAGACCACAAGACAAAAGATAAGATGATGCACATACATCCTCCAATCATGAACAATGATGAATAGTTTAAATAGGCATCAATCATGTGGGTAGGGAGCCAGCCCTTAGACCAATTCGCTCTAAGAAAAGTTCTTATTCCTTCCATGCACAGTTGCTAAATGACTTGCTTCCCCACTGGATCTATATTATCTAAGCAACTATACTTGTAATCTTACTGGTTGACTATAGTTTTGCCCCACCTTATACCCACAGTGTGACTTGCATTGGATCAATATACCTAAAGAACTATACTTGTAATCTTACTAGTTGATCATAGCTTTTTCCCACTTTACACCCACCTTGTGATTTTACTCCATAAGCTTCCCCTGAGAAATGGGTTCTCGGGTAACCCACTTTCCGGGCTGCCTTCTGTGTCTCTTAGACAGAAGCTTTCTTTCTCCCAGTAAGTATTTTCTACTCTTCACCTCTGTTGTTGATTAGAAATTCTAGCAAGTGGGGAGTTATATTTCCCTTCTACTATTTGGATTATTTACAGTGTCCTCTATCATCCCTATATCAAAGGTCCGGTCACAGTTTTTATATATTGAACTTCGCTGCCTTAGGAGATTACTTCTGTTTTCAAGTCTCAAGTCACCTTCTCACAATAGCAGTGGCTAGAAAAGTAAAAATACTTTTGATAATAGTCTTTTCTTTTGTGAACTATATACACACATAATCAATAACTTGATATTACTTTTCTCACGGTAGTGGATTGAAGCCAGGGCCTTTGCACACAATTACACCCCCAGTTTTTTTCTTATTGCTGTAGTTTTAAAGACAAGGTCGTGCCGGGTGTTATCCCAGCACTCTGGAGACTGAGGTAGGAGGATCACTGCGCGCTGGAGACCAGCCTGGGCTACAAAGTAAGCTCAAGGCCAGCCTGAACTGAATAGTGAGACCCTGTCTCAAAAAGACCAAAAAAAA